AATGAGATTCTGCCTCATTCTGGTAAAACGTTCAAGGTCATTTTTCTTAAGATCATTTTCCCCATGATCCTTTTCCTCCTTTCCTGCTCCACAATCCAGACTTTTGCTAATATGACTCCACCCAGAAGTTTCATAGTTCAACCATAGTCATTTTATAGCACTCTAGGAATGTGCTGGATGAGGGAGACCATGACAGGAATTTGCCATATTCATTCATTGGTCAAGAGTTACATCTCGGTCACACACTGAATTATCTAAATAACTGGTCAACACCAACCCAATGGCTGCTTTTTCACTAGACTCTCTGGTTACTTTAAAAAATATCTTTGATAAGAATTGAGGCCTGACTTTTGTTTTTAAGTTAACAGATGGTTATCTTGGAATACTGAATTCTTAAAAAGTCCAAATCTTCAAGTAGGACTTTCCAACCCACGCATCTATGAGCTTAGAAAGAACCCATTATACTTTCCAAAAATGTCTTCTAGCCTGAAATACCACTACACGTGCAAAGAGTAATCAGTCTTAGGAACACAAACTTTGTTTTCAGACYTTCTCTGATGATGGGGAAAGATACTTTGTTTTCCTGAGACTGCTGGCAGAAAACCCTGCTCATCTCTCATCATATTGCCATTATCTTGGATATAGCAAAGACAATATAGGTGCTATATCTTCCAAAGGTAGCTAGTCCAACTGCTCCTCAGTTTAATTTGTGTCATTCCCTAGAAGAACTTTTTGTATGAAAAGACTTTCCCTTCCTTCTCTCCACACATGAGCACACTGTCAGCCACCATTCTTTTTTATGCTTAGCTATTGCAATTCATAAGGCCATATATAATTAAGAAATTGCCTTTCAGTAACTGTCATCTGCCKGTTGCATTTCACCTAAAGAGAACTTTCCCATTAGGAAATGCACACCAGAGCATTTGCTATTTGTATATTACTGCTCCAGATTTCCAAGCACTGCACTAGTATCTAAGCACAGAACGTTACCTGTCCTTTTTATTTGTCCTAGATCCTTCATCCTCCTTTTGGATCTTGTATTTTAGTGCTGGATCAAGCACCTTGGATAAGTAAATGGTAAAAGCTCAGAGTCAATAAAAATTGTAACAGAAGCCTAGGCAAGGAACCAGTGCTAAATGGCATGCCAAGCAAATGCATCAGAAAAACTCCTTTTCTAAAGGAAAATTGTTTTATTCATTGCACTTCAGCTCAACTAACGATCGATAGTAGGGAGAATATTGAACAGCTCTAGACTTATAGACTGAAAATCAGATACTTGGATATCAGGGAGGTAGGATGCAGCAGCACTCTATAAAATACATGTCCATTCTCTCTTTTAGAGGGCAGCTTTTTGCAGAATTACCATCATGTTCCCCACATTGCCTGATTGTCAGCTGACAGTGCCAAAACATGTAGTGCTGCAACAAGGTCAGCAAAGCTACCAGGACGGTGCTGATGGCTGGTAATACAGGGAGGAGGAAGAAAAAAATACCTAAATAAAGCAAAAAAAAAAAAAACCCCACACAATTGAAAAATGAAGTTCTATTCCTCTTACCTGCACACAGGTAAATAAATATACACAATTTGTCAAGGTTGGATGGTAGAAATACATAGGACTTTTTTTTCTGAGGAATCAGTGAAATGAGAAATGTTCCTTTTGTGAAATGAGTTGGAAGTAGTGCAATGAACAACGTAACTGTGAACAGTTTTTTTCCTTTCATCTAGCTGAAACTTTATTATTATTATTACAATGATTTGTGAGAACAAAAACAGTCTTGGGGCAGAAAGACCAGGCACAAAGCTGAGTTGAACAGAGTTGCACACTCTACTGGCACTGTGCAGAAGAACATGCAACACTTTCCAGGGGRCCTTCACACTTCATTTTATCTGTGCATCCAAGCCTAGTGGGTGATAAAGGATCAAAACCCCCATAACACTTGAAATTTGCATTCCTTACGCAAAGATAGGAAAGAAAAAAACATGTATTGAGAAGTGAAGTGCATTCTCCTGCTTTATCTACCCTACTTATCCTTGCATGAAGCTCAGCTAGATAATTTTTTTTTCTGAATTGAACAAGACTTCAAAAATGAGATGTGTCCCCCAAACATACGGMTTTTTGCTTAAATACAAAATTGTATTTGACAGTGAATTTTTGACCTTCAGTTTCAAATCTGCTCTCTTACCATAACTCTGAGAAGCCTGAGTTTCATTCCATTGTATTTACTTTTAGGTGTGATTTTGCTGATTTTAAAAGCTTTCAGAAAGACAAGTGGAGGAAGAAGTCCCAGATATTGCCATAGTTGCCTGTGGTGTCACGTAGCCATTTCATGTTTCTTTAATGCTTTCAAAAAATCTTCTCCATGCTCTCTCATTACCGAATGCAGTTGCAGGTGTGGATTTCAGAGTGAACAGAAGGTGAGACCCACCCTCTGCCATCAGATACAGAGCCAGCTCTGGGTGGGATGTGATGAAGTGTACCTGTGCTCAAGCTCTCTTAGATGACCACATCCAGGCTCGCACACAGCCACAATGAGGCAGACTGCTTAGTTTTGTATTTGTTTAACCTTTGTGAAGATAAGGAGAGCAGTTCCACCGAGAGCTCTTTTGTTTCATTCTGTATCAGTTCAATAGAAGCAGCAGGCCTAAAGCCACAAGCCATGGTTTGTGTATCTTGTAAGTCTTCTAAAGCCTTGTCATCATATGCTGTATTATGTTGTCTTTTTCACAGAGTGACCACTTCCCCGCTGAACAGTATCTGCCTTCTTGTGCCTTGATGAACCACATTGTAAAAGGTAAAAATCAATAGAGCTCTCCAGAAACCAGAACCACCGAGGGAAAAATGTTTTCCTGCAGCACCATCTTGTGGCCCCTGATATTAGTACTGAAGGTCTCTGGGACTGGAAGGTAGAAGTTCTCTTCTGCTGGCCTGGTCCACAAATGGAGGTGAGGAACAGCACACACTACAAGACAGCTTCCCTCCCTAACACAGAGGCTCTGGGGATCTTGTAAAGGATGCTCTTACGGAACCTGGTCCCTAATCCAGTTCTTTGAGGGGACWGGATGGACAACGGGAAACTGAGTTTAACTCACACAGCTTGACACACAAGATAAATATACCAGCAGTTTAGATAMTTTGGAAAATGTATGTTCCAAGTGGGTCTGGAGTAACACCACGTTGAAACTGTACGATCAAAAGCAATAAAATCATTTGCTCGGTAGGGGTACAATTAGCCTTGCTGTGTCTTTTTCACCTTCCCCTCTCCTCTTACAGTGCATGTATTTTGCTTATGCTCATTTCTGTCTGATGCTGCCACTGTTACTGCAGATGCATTGATTGCTTACTACTAAATACAGTAGTTGTTTCATCAGCAGGTCTCCCTTTGTCAGGATGTTAAGCAATATTGAAAGCTGTTGTGCAGTCAGTGACATGTGAAGAAAAGGAATTTACTACCTTTCAATCAAAATCATGAAGTACCATATGAAAGCCTAACTTTCTCCAGAACAAAACTCTTTCTCTATAATCACCATCAGCCATGAGGATCTATGTGGTTTGTCACATGCACATTTCAGCTGTGACAGTGCCCCCAAATTCATGTAGCAGGAAATTGTTTTCATCTTTGTCAAAATGGCTACAGACACACTTCACAATTCATAAAAATAACATCAAGCACCAGCAAACACACATCAGACTTGGAAGGCAAACAGCCTTATTCAGTCTCCATCATTCTGCTCATCCACATCAAAAACATCACAGATTCTTTTGCTTTTAAAATTAACACCTAAATCATCTTTTATATGATGAAATTGGCAATGTTTGCTATGTTGAGCTCTAAGCTTCTGCATATAGTCATATTTGACCACCAGTAACAATTTCCTGAGACATACTCCTCCCTTATTACACTTGGATTCTCAGTGATGTCTATTTTAGGACTAATACAACTAGGATAAAACTTTATTTAATGGGGAATGCTGTAAGTACAAAGTTTCTATGAATCACTCACAGTATTTATTCTCTAGGTTAGCAGCAAAGCTCCATTTCTGCCAGTTCTAATCCTTGAAAATTTTGCTACTTGGATTTCACAGACCCAAAGAAACAGTGATCGCATCATTATGTGTGATAGTGATTGCTATTGGCATTCTCTAAGTATAGCTCTAAAACAACTGCCCAACAGATTGTCTAAATCTTCTGCAGCTGGTAAAGGATTAGCCATTCACCTCATTAGGAGTTGTAGCACTCTTCTATGGTAGCATCCAACACGGAAGCAAACTAAGCTTGCCACTCACTACTGATTTAATGAATGTCAACTACCTTTTCTTAATCCAGACAATATTCTAAGACTGACCTATTAACTGGGACAGTGCCTTAACTGGTATCCTTATTTGCCCTCTGCTGGAATGCTATATTAATAATAGAAGACAGACTTTAGCATTCAGGAATTGCCAAAAGCAATTTCTGCCTTAAAGTGTTACCAGTCTTCCACAGAAGATATGGTGTGAGTATGAAGACCTGAGAATGAAGAACTTTGTACAAAAATCAATAGCATTATCAGAGGATGACAATGTTATATTCATTTGACACTAGAGAAAACACCTCATGTTTTAGGGCATACTCAAGTAAGCCTGGTGTCCTTGTCCTGCTTGAGGTCTTCAAGGTCAGCTGGATGATCCTCTACACCAAAAAGAAGAAAAGAAATCTAAAAATGGGTCTAATTAGTTTTGGGAACCTGCTTACATTTTTGCCAAATTAATATTGGCCATAGCTTGTTGTGGTGCCATTCAGCATCTCAGTACTGGAACCAAGTTCTTGCAGACCCATTGCGTCTCTCATAACTGAAACTGAGGGTGATCCCTGACAAACAGCACCTTTTGTCAAAAGGCCTAACAGATTAGGGCCAGATACTTAGTACAATATACTAAGTCATCTAGTATGTCATATAGAATTGACAGTAAAACAATAATATGGAAAGGACAAAAGAATACTTCAAAAACAGCTTACCTTTTTACATGCTCTCATGATCCTTAGCCTTTTTCTTAAATAAACTTGATAAAAAGCCATGGTTTTCACTATGCTCTTTCTTCTTCTGCATACTTTGTTCTACTGCTTTCCTTTTGCTTCGTAAAGGATTGAAACACTGACTGCAACACATTAAAACAACAGCTGAAATTGATTTCCAAAGGAAGAATTTTCACCTACACTTTAGCTATGAAATCCTAGCTTCAGTGAAAAGGGCAAAGCTACACCACAAGATTTCATCACTAGAATATAGATTGAGGCTACAAAAAGCATTTGGATATGCATTTCCCCTCTCATATGTTTTTTTTTTTTTCTTGAGTTTTAGCAGACCCGGTGATTCATAGCAATACAGCTGTGACCACAAAATTCCCTAGGAGGTGGCCTGCTTCTCACAGCTGTACTAGAAATTCAACAGAATGAAGACTTTTCTGGTTTATATTTTATCTAAAGAATCTACACAACACTTTTGAAATACAGCACTAGTTATGAGTACCTCTGTTTTTCTACCCATTTGTGTTCGATCCTACTCATCCTGGCATGGGGTGATTAATCAAGACAAGACATGGCAAAACTGAGCAAGAAAAAGGTAGGATAGAGCTGCACATAAAAATCAAAGGACAAGAGAGCTCAAGAGAGATGTTACGGTGACAGCACACCAAAGAGGCTGTTGGTTTGCAGGGAATGGGTACAATTAAGGCATGTAGATTCTGCTTTCTGCRTGAAAAATTCCATGGAGAAAAACAAACCACGTTGTTCATTAATGAGGAAGCAAAGTAACACAAAGCCTCACTAACTTTAGTCAGTACTAGTAACTGACAGTGTGGCAAAGGGAAGGGTACTCAGAGTAAGGCTGAGCTGCTGTAACTCAACCTGTCCAAAGGAAGTAAACAGCTCCCTGTATCAATTTTGCAGGATTTCCAGGCTCATACATATATTAACTTCAACTAGCTAAGCGCTGAAGGTAGCCAATAACAAAGGACAGCAGTCATCCTTACAGTTTGGCCATATTATGGAATTACTTTTTCTATTTAAGTCACGGCATCTTGAAGAGACAGTCACCTACCCCTAGTTGCACATTACAAATGCCTGCAAAGCCCTTCCCYGGCTAATAGTCTGGCTTTGTGCTAGTTCTTTACACACTGTTATGGAACATTTTGGAATTTGCACAGCACACACCAGTTGTCCCAAATTTCATCAGCAGAAACTGTCACCCTGATAGTTCTACAAAATGATCCTTACCTTGGGGCATGTTCTTTGCAATRCAGTTTTGACATCATACTTAAGCTCATCACACCATGTTAGAAGACGTAAATAAAATGCATATAATGCTACTACATACATACAATATTACTAATGGAAAGCAAGAGAATTTCCTCCTAGACAGAAGATGTCAGGCTCATTAAAAGGAATGCTTTTCAAAGCCATATCCTCTATCAACAGTCTCTAAATAAAACTCGAAAAACTCAATTGAAGTTACTGTGTTATAGCATTGCTTCTTTCCTAGAACACAAATATACGATGCTGGAAATTAAAACCATTTAGCATCTGGTTAATCACTGCACTGAACAACAAAACAAAACAAAACAGGTCAGAGCAGAACAGCAATATTCCTGGTTTCCCTGGCTAGGAAAAAAAAAATTAAACATTAATATGTATTCATTTGGAGAGAATTTGCATTAATTCATTTTCTAGAAATTTTATGATAATTCCATGCTAAATCTTTGCCTCCTGTTTTCAGAGTCACTGATGACTCAGTGAGGCTATCTGTATGCTGAACATCAGCTGCTGAGTACAGCCTAAGATGTAATGTGGGGATYGGCACAGCAGGTTTTGTCTAAATGTGGAACTCCGTAGCAAGTGGCCATCTGCTAAGCAGCCACATTAGTCAAGCGTACGGGTGTGCGTATGCACATGTGCATGATCCCACACAGCTAATACCTTGGGACAGCAAAAGCTTAACACTTGGGGAAATGCAAAACTGTTTGGGGAAAAAAGGGTATCACATTAACCAAGTTACAGCATTAGTTGGTAATTATGTGCGATCACCTTGAAAACTGAAGTACAATTACGTCAATATGCTTCATCTTAGTTTAATGATTTTGATACTGTGGACTTGACATTTTTCCTCATTATCATAGAAGGGCATATACACACACTGAAACTCTTAGTAATGTCAAACACTGTACTGCTTTCATTGTATTCACAGGCTTCTGTGTGCCTCACATCAAAAACCCACTGCACATTAGTAGCTCTGCATATAATTCATTTACTTTTCTCCATATGCTTCTCGTCTGTCTGTCTCACTCTTCTCAGGCCTACTATTTTTTGGCCAATGCTGTATTTTACTGAATAATTCCATGTATATCCCACAGAGAAACACATTCCCACTTGTTCTCTTTATACACATTTTTTTCCTCATTCATTTGTTCCTTGCTATGTTTCAGGTAATTCCTGGCTGCACATGTCACTTCCCGTGCAGCAGTGAGGACTGTTCACCCTAAGTAATATTTTGTTTTTGCAGAAGTAGCTTCCAAGCTGTTGGTGAAGAAACAGACTTTGTCTCTTTGTGATGTTGAGAGAGAAGGCAAGAGGCAGGAAACCTGTCTCATTTGTTTCTGTTTAGCTTTATGATACAAAGTGAAATGATCTTCTCCCCAAATTGTTCTTTTATTCCTTACTGACATTCTGGATTTCCTTTGAACTCAGGGTAGTGTCCTAAAACGCTATTCTAGAAACYGATTCTAAAAACCTCTCAGGTTCAAGTTCCTTACACTGAATCTTTGGAATGAATACTGCAGTACTGAACACTTTTTTAAAAAAATTATTTAACTCAAGTCAGATAGACTCTACATTTTATGAAGCATCAAAATAAAAGGACTCATTTTTGACCTTTGCATATTAGTTTCTTGCTTTTTWTTTCCTAATCTTTTTTTCTCACTGATTTTAAACATGTCAACRATCTACATTTTCTACGTTTAGAAAGAGTGCATCATGAATTTGACCTGATCATACACTAACTCTTACCTCTTTTGCAAACAGGCACAGCAACAAAACGGCAGACCTGCCAGAATAAAAAACACTCCTGCTCCAAGCACAAACAACCGAAAGGTCAGCTGCAGATCTGCAGAATCAGTAGAGGCTTGGGTTAGATATGAATGATCCTGAGGTACACACCGAGACACAGATATCACAGACCTGTCTTAAATTTGACCAGAGTTCAGGCAGCCCATGCATTTGATTAGTTTCAGAAGTAATAAGTAAGTTCAGTTAAGCCCAGGGCAGGAAATCAGACTCTTAAAAGCATCTTTAAAAATGGAGACAAAAATCATGCAAGTGAAAACTACTCATTTATTTCAGTTTGTAACTTCTGCAAGATACTCTTAAAATCTCATCTACTTCCTGCTAAAGTCAAAGACAAAACTCTCAGATGAAAAACTAGCATGCAGGCTAGGACCATTTCATGGAAATCCAAGTGCCATGAGTCTGATATGTCATTTAAGTGCATCTATTTTGTCAACAGATTGCGACAAGGCAAACAGCATGTGCTCTCAGGGCAGTAAGTGTGTGTATTTTCTTTGGACATATGTTATACATCCTGGACCATTAAAGCAGCTAATTAATCTATGAACAAATAATTTGGTAAAATAGTTGGCCCTTGGTGTTTACTTCCAAACAATAAAGGCTTAACTGGAATGAGAAATCAAGCAATTTCAGCTGAATAAGCATATTTAATTTTAATATTTGCTTGAATGTATGCCCTCAAATGAGGGAAAGAGCACCGATTTTGACTGCAAAACTCTATTGGGTTTTATTTTCTTAATCTTCAAATAGCTTTCAGTATTTATTAGATGATCATTTAGCTGCTKCTTCAGCCACTGAGTTCAACTTCTCGTCACTGCACCTTCTCAGACTTACTAGCTCCTTTGATTAAAACTGCCATCCCACAAATAAAGCCTTTGCTACTTTCTTTGAACTAACATATGCACCTATACTTAGTTCTGTGGCTTATGCTGGGGTTGACAAGCTAACATAACGTTTTTTATCAATAAACTGTTTTCATTTTTAATGTTARAAGTCATTCTGACCAGAAGCATTTCACTAGGAGGCATCAGTTTACCCAGTTATACTTACTGTCTTTAAATGGGGTATAGCATTTCAATTCATGGCTKGTTTTGGAAGGACAACATTTATTTTCCAAGCATTCGGTTTTGTTAACGGTCCCTCCTACGCGACAAGGAGTTAAGGCTTGATTGTCTTTGTGGCGGCACGCTTTAAAAAAAASAGATAAAATGTAAAATTTCCATTCTAAAGACCAACATTCAGACAAAGAAGTAGTTACAAATCCTTCTTCTGTCTAGGATGTGCTGAATTATTCTTTCCTTCTGGTGCTTACAGGGGTAATCTGAGAAGTATTTCAGAACAGACACAGCAAAAGGACACAAGGTTATTCCTGCCCCAAAGGGTCCTGCATTTCTAGCCCAAGCACCTCACTCAGGATAAAAGGTTTTGCAGGACAGCAGTAATGGAAGGGATAATTTTCAAATCTGCATTTGTTCTAAATGGGTACTTAACAAAACCACTTCTATGAGATTGAGCACATTTTACAATATTAGATGGAACGTTTCAAATACACTAAGTATTGACAGGTATGGGTGGAAACGTGGGCTGGAGGTAAAGCAGGAGAAAGAAAAAGAAGAGAGGAAAGAAAATGCTGCAGTGATAAAAATGACACTTACTTACTGGCCTGAAGAAGCTTACAAGAGCTTCTGATACATCTTTCAGTTTCACTTGAACTTCACCAGGCGCCACTTTGCTTTTTTCTAAAACATGCTGAGTTGGTGATGCAAAACCTGAAAGCTCGTAATGATTAGCTCATTACCATCAAAATATCCATAATTAATTAAATGCAATGACATTTTCATACTGATTATCTTTCATTACGAAGGCATTTATAGTCATTATGAATTGTGACTAGTGATGGCTAGCAAGGTTAAACATAAATGTCTTTCTGTTACACTCAATTATATTACTTCCAATTGCTTCATGAACCAAAATGACTAAAGAACTGAAGCTGTGAAATTTAAATTATATTAAAGAAATCTTTCAGCTGGAAATTGTCAAGACAAAAAGCAAAATTGTTCACATGCCAGATACAGATTACATTTAAACCACATTACATTTTTTCCTCCCTTCACTCTGGTCAAGATCAGACCAGAATGAAAAACACACACAAAAAAAGAGGAAATTTAAGAAATAGTTTTGTTAAATGCAACAAATAGTGCATCTAGCCCAGTACTCTGTTTCAGAGAGTGCTCAATAACATATCTAGGAAAGAGCAAAGAAAATTGCGATACTGGGATATTTTCCTAAGTTCTAGATGTCTGTGGCCCTGGGACTTCTTGATCACTTTCMTTTTTTACTTCCCCGAAAAATATAGCAAGGAGTTGCTTCACTCTCCATCTCTTTTTATCTGTGGGAGAGGTGCCTGAGGAAAGCAAGAAAGCAAATACCAGTCGAGTCTTGAAAAAGCAGGAAGAAGGAAAGGGGGACTGCAGGCCAGCCAGCATCACCTTGATCCCTGGAAGGGTGATGGAGCAGCTCAGCCTGGATACCATCTCTATGACTGTGAAGCAGAAGGTGATCAGCACAGACTCACAAAGGGGAATTCATGTTTAACAAATCTGATAGCCTTCTATAATGAGAGCAGGGGATGTCAACCACCTTGACTTCACTAAGACTTTTGATGTRGTCTCCCATAACATCCTTGTAGACAAGCTCAGTAAGTGCTGGCTAGACAAGCTCACTGTCYAGTGAGGTGGACTGAGAACTGGTCAAACAGCAGAGCACAAAGCCTAGGTGGACGCCTGCAGCTAACAATGTCCCCAGCTGGCATCAGTTCTGCGTCCAGTCCCGTTCAACTTGCTCATCAGCGACGTGGATGAAGGGACGGGGTTCACCTTCTGCAAGTTTGCTGATGAAACAAAATTGGGAGGAGCAGCTGATASGTAAAATGGCTGTGCTGCCATTCAGAGGGACCTCAACAAGCTGCAGAGATGGATAGAGAGGAATTTCATGAAGTTCAACAGAGGCAAGTGCAGAGTCCTGCACCTAGACAAGAATAATCCCATGCACCAGTACAGGGTTGGGTGTTGGTCTACTGAAAAGTAGCTCTGTAGCAAAATATCTACATGTCCTGTGGACAAATACACCATGAGCAAACAACATGCCCTTGTGGCAAAGGAGACCGAAGGTATCCTGGGAATGCATTACGGAGAGTGCGGCCAGCAGCTCAAGGGAGGTGATCCTTTCCATCTACTCAACCCTGGTGAGGCCGCATCTTAAGGACTTTATCAAGTGGTGGACTCCCCACTAGCAGACATGAAGCTAATGCAGCAAATGCAGCAAAAGGCTACTAAGATGACTTTGTGATTGGAGCACTTCTTATATGATGAAAGGCTGAATTCTGGTCCTATTCAGCCTGGAACAGAGAAGACATGTGGGAAGAAAATCTTATCATGCATTTAAGTATCTGAAGSGTGAAGAGGATGGAGCCAGCCTCTTCTCAGTGGTGCCCAGTGACAGGTTGAGAGGCAATGCACACAAGCAGAAGCACAGCAAGTTCCACCTGAACATGAGCAAAGACATCTTTACTGTGAGAGCGACAGTGCAATGGAACAGGTTGCCCAGAAAGACTGTGGGTTCTTCMTCCTTGGASATATTCAAAAGCCATCTGGATGCAATTCTGGGCAACATGCTCTAGGCAACCCATATTGAGCAGGGATCTTTGGACTGGATGATCTCTAGAGGTCCCTTCCAACCTCAACCACTCTGTTACTGAAGCAAAGGTGCAAGTCACAGTGGGACATCAACCACCCCACAATGAAGAAAACAAAAAGAAAGCCCCCACTTACTGTGTGTTCAATTCCTACTTACTGTTTCTTGCCTTCCCACCCTCCACAATGCTCCCCCCGGTGTAAGAAGTTTGCCCCATCACAGCTCACTTAACAGTTTTCAGTGATGGAGTTTACTGAAAGCCTTCTCATAGCTTTATAGTTGTGAATACTTTCTTGTTAGGCCACGATCTCTGTCCCAAGACATGGAACAACTTGATCCTACCAGCCGAAGAGGCATCTAAAAGACCACCAAGAGCCTCAGGCAAATAAACTCACTATTCATCTCTATGCACTACTTGTTTTTTTTCATGTGCCATACAGGATTCCCTTAAGGAAAAGTAGTATCTGAGCAGGGAAAACTGAAAGCATGTTGAAACAGAGGATGTAAAAACTACACTAACAGAAACGCAACCTTCACAGTTCAGACTAACAGTTACGCTATGGTCCCTGGTTTAAGGAGACAYGTGCTGTACATATAGCTATAAGAGCACACACACACCTCCTGAAAGCAGAATGACCTGCTCATCTAGATATTSCAGAAACATTTTACAAATAACTGTTGGATCAACTGACAGCCTTTTGGCAGGATCTGAAATCGTGCTTCCGACGTCTGCCTCCTCCAGGCATAGGATCAATACAAGCYGAGAATACAGGCTCATCCTTTATGCACAATTTCAGATGACTGAWATTAACTTGTGGTATGAATGCGCCTGCTAGCCTGACAGAAATCTTTGTCAATTATTTCACCCTACCTCCTATAGTCTATCAAACCTCTACAGTTTTCAGGTACCTTTTTAACTGGAGGTTTGGGGATTGAGGAACGAGAAGGGGAACAGAAGGACTTCCAAAGGGGAGTGTGGAAACCAGAAGCCATAACCAAACCAAAACCAAGACACAATATCAAGGCTGGAATAGGCAGCATGTGTTTCTCCCACAGATGTACATAGAGGGAAACCGGGACTACGCTTTTAGGGAAAATGTAAATTACCTGTATTTCTCAGGACTACTGTCAATCCTATTTGGTATATTTCCTTTTTGATTATGTTTTTCAGTATTTTTCAATCATAGCCAAGATAAAAGTGCAACCGTAATTTCCTCCTAGTAAAATTATTTGCTTCCTCTATGTTTTCTTCTTGCAATACTCACTCGATTCGATGCTATGAAACATCATCACAATCACACAGTTCCACAACAGATGAGTGCCAGTTACTCCTTGCAGCATTACTGCAATAAAAGCAGTAGCAATAATGAATAGATAGTTGGATATAAGCTATTTTACTTAGTATTTACTATTTGTAACAAACAGCAGAGAGGACTGCTGCACAGAGCAGGAATGCTTGTCTTCTTACTTTAAAAAGGAAGCCAAACCCAGTAAAAAAAAAAAGACAGTAATTACTGACTTTGAAGAAACAAACCACTTAAGAGAACTTACTGAGGGGCACCTTGAATAGTGACTATCTAAAAAAAAAAGGGGCTTCCTTTAAACCACCCCAGAGCTAGTTATTTGACAAGATTAAGATTAATCACTTTCAGTTAAGTATTTTAAATCCAGGTTTAAGGCCAGAACTAAGATTTAGGCAGCAACAATCTTTGGAAAATTATGACAGATATCTAACTTAGCTTACTCAGTGATTCAGTGTAACACTAGAGGAAAGAGATGCTTTGGAAAAATAATATTTGTAAGAGAGGCCCAAAAGGATAATTTTTAGATAAAAGTATTTTTAAAATCCAAAGTCATTCACAGTAACTTATCAGCAGGTGTTAAGATAGGCTTTTGTGAACACCGCTTTGCCAGTGGCTGTGTATTTGATTTTGCCCGTTACCTGTTATCTTCAAAGTGTCTTTCCCAATTACTATCATATATCTATCTATATCTATTTACATATCTAGAAGTTAAGGCAACTTAAACTTAGCAATTATTTATTATTGGTATGGGCAAGAGAACAGAAGCCCATTTTCCCAAGCACCACATGGAAATGGGTAAGACTACTGCCCTATGAAGGGGCTGCTCTCTTGCACTCTTGCTAAATGTAGAACACTTTCCTGACATTAAAGCTGACGTGGTCTGTAGAAGTATTTCTTAATCAGACAGGTCAGAAGATACAAAGCTGAAATGTTTTCCAGGAGAACTATTATAATGCAATGTCCTCCAAGAGAACAGGGAAAGGGGGAAACATTCCCTGGGAGYGGAGGAACAAGGCAGATTTAAAGGGTCTAGCTTCACCCCTTACATACTCCTCCTTTGACCATCTTCTCTGCTCCTGCTGGAAGATCAGAGCTACGCAGAGCGCAGCCAGCACAGACTTCTTGGGCAAGACAGAGCACATGGCAGGCAAACCTGTCACAATGACTGCCTGTGACCCACGCCTCCGTGCACAGGATGCGCCACCAGAACCAGCCCTGTACGAGAGAGAGGTAACTCCTGAGCAAAGGCCAAGTTATACATCCCTTCATTTTCCCTCCCCTCACCACCCTTTAGTTAAAACTGTGTGTGTTTATTGCATTCTCTATTTCAGCTCACTGTTTGTACCAAATAAACACCACTCAGCAAAAAGCTGTGGAGATCAGGTAATAGAAAGGGCAGTCCGTTAATACTTTCCTCAAAGTTTAAGTACATAGGTTATATTCCCACATGAGTTATGGGAAATTCTGCATATGTCAACTGACAGATAACGTTTCACTGAGGTCTYGGGCAAGTGGCTCATACATGTAAAGTGCAACGCTATTCTCAACTAAGAGTCACATAAGAGTCTCTGCAGAGACAGATCCCCCCACTAGAAGCCAAGGGGTACTCACACAAGTCTTTCCATTAATAAATAGAATGGGAATGTTTAAGAATGAAAGCTCTTTGGATGCATTAGGAATTACTAAACATGCCAACTTCCCCCCAAAAAAACAAAAAGATAAAACAACAAAGAAAAATACCCACCACTCTCATATAATATAACTGTCTAAACAGAAAAGTCTTTTTGAAAAAAATTATATATATGCATATTCATCCCCTCCCCTCCCCTCCTTCTTAGTTAACAAATGAATTTTGAGTTAAGATGGGTGCTTTCTTTTAAACTATATTGGGTTGGTAGCATTGGGTTGCTAGGATAGCCACACAGCCTCAAAGTTCGGTGTTCCTGAGCAAAGACTGTGCTCTCAATACTACCAAAGAGGGGATAGACACCTCTTCTACAGGTGAACATTCTTCATTTTCCAAGCACCTAACATGCAAYTAAGATTTTTGTTCTTGTACCTGTTATGGAACAATGCATACGATTTCTAGGATTTACATTCCTGGCACTTAAAAGTACAGGACTTACCCGGTATTAGAAAACTGTCCACACATTTCATCACTTTGTTGTCTCTGTAATTTAAGACTAATGCCTGTCCCCTTTTTAAATTGTAGTCTATTCCTGAAGCCTAAGGCTAATGTGCAAGGCTCATACTTGGTAAGAACAGAGTACCGCAGTACCAGTAAACCTACCCCTTTCAATGGTGCAAGCAGCACAAGGTGAAAGTTGCACCATCCCTAAGCCTGGTGCAGTTCTAGTAAGGGAAATAGCCCTGCAGATCAAAAGGGCATCTATTCAGAATACCTGACTTACATATATGATGAAAACTGAAACCAGTCCTAAAGAAGCTGTCTTCCATTATTAAAACACATAAATTTTCCTGATCATCTTGATAGCTGTCAATGAAGCTCAAGACTGACTAGCAATTCTGTTAAGTCTTTGGCTGGGGCATCAACTTACTATGCACTGTTACAAAAACTACTACTACACTGGGCTCTCCTTGTTATTTTAGGTACCCAACAGAATCAACACCAACTTTTTATTATGGAATATCTCTACTTAAAATAAACCATACTGTTTGCTGCATATGGATAAAATCTTTAACAAAATATACAGTAAAATAYTTAAGACCCACCTTTACTCTTGCAGACTAGCACAGAAGGCCAATTTCTAGACTCATACAGCAGGGTTCCTGAAGTAACCGAGGAATACTTATTCAGAAGCTAATTAATGTACTTTTAATACTCAACTACTGAAGAGCTTTGAGAAGAAAGGTGCTGCAACTCAGGAAAATCAGTTATCTTGCACCGTGAGTGCTCCTATAAAGGATGGGGGAGTCTATACTCAGTATCCTAATTACARTGCTTAATTTTGACTTGTTGAAAGAAAAACTAAACAGTATACAAAATTATGATTGAAATTAGACAGAAACTTCGGAAAATGCTCATGTGCAACTAAGTCATTTAAGGAATTTCAGTACTCAAACTGATTTACTTCTTGAATTCATCCTCATGAACAGACAAGATTTTCATCCATTCAAACAAGCTATTTAAAAATATTCTTAACAGAATTTTATACGAGCTCTAAAAATCTTGACTTCCTAGCATCAACTTCCTATAATTAATAAAAATGTATTTACTAAAGAAATGCAACACTTTCTCTCTAGTTCCATAAACATTTGTTAATTTATAGGCTTTGTGCCTAAACTTATTGAATTAAAACTTTGGCATTATTCACAAATACCTCTCACTCTTTAAAAAGAACTTTATTTTTAAAATAAAGTTAATTCATTAGACCATACTTGATAAATTACCAGGAGGATCAGGACCAAGTATCAGACATTTGTTGCACTTTCAAGTTTTGTAACAACACATGATTTTTTCAAAATAAAATTGTACATTTAGATTTACAGTTTAATTTGTGGAAATATACTATCACACTTAAAAACACTGGAATTTGAATCAAAAAGGATACATATTAAGCACACAGAAACACTGAAAAAGGTCATAGCCCCAAGATGCATTTGAAAATAGAATGTAATTAATATGGTAAATTGCAGTTTAGCAATTTCACATTTAACCTAGTTAGCACCTTAGTGAACTCAACTTGTGAATGACAATAATTTAATGCATATAATGTCACAACTGAATAAGTATTGTGCCATTTCATCAGAAGATTCATCTTTTGTGTGCATTTATGTGCCTTAATTTTGAAAAATTGGTACTATCTCAGAAGTCTTATAAAACTCAAAGTAAACAATGGTTTCAGTTAAAAGTTTAAATGGGGACATATTTTCTTTCTACTTGCTATAAATTGAGTTTTTAAAGCAATCATTTATAAGGATTGCATCAACATCAGTTAGCAGAGGAAGATCAAACTTTATTGAAACTGCTTGCATACAAAATATATTGCACTATAACCAAACAAATGTCAACATAAAATCCAATCTGTTGTAGCTAATATGTACAGAGAATATTGCCCAAGAGCAGTTACATTACAAGGTCAGTCTACCTTGGTTAATTATCTACAGTATTTTAAACCAAACAGCTTACAGATGATGTGTGCAAGGTACCAATTTCTGTTTTCAAATACTATACATTCCCAAAATAAATATCTAGAAATCAACATTAATGTTTGGCAATACTTTTTAAGACGTTTTCATATTTGTTAAATCATGTGCAGTTTGTTGCCATTTTTAATATGCTCACCTGTATGCAAGGAAAAAACAGAATGAAAAAGCAAAGAAACAAAACTCACAAAATACATCAGAGGCAAGGTCAAGCTTGTACAACACTGTACATAATCAGTGGCTCCTTTCTGGAATAATCTGAATAAAACTGGAATTAAATGAAGGTCCTTAACAGTTTTGCCCAGTAAATTTATTCCATGATCAGAAATGAAAGAAAGCAAAACTCCTCCCACCAGGTCCCACCCTCCCTTGTGTATGATCATACTTTGCATGGAAGCCTGCGATAGTTTCCAACTGGATGGCAATTCATTACACCTTGTACCTCAAAATATTGTGAATTTGTTCTGCCTTGAATATACCCAGCTGCTATACCTGAATTTCCAGGGCTTTACACACGGTGATTTTCTTCTTACCTCCCCTGAGATAATCTCCAAATTAAGATAAACAATTCAAAAAAATATTTAGGAGGATGAAAAGAGCTTTAAGCTGGTCATCTGGCCAAATAGCAGGCACACACTACTAGCTTGTGAACAAGTTACATTTGTTCCCTCAGTAACAATGAGTTTTTAGTTTTCCACAACGGAAAGGTTTTTGTTTTCTTTTTTTTTTGTTTGTTTTTTTTTTAAAAAAAAATCTGTACTGCCTACAAAGAAAAAAATTACAGCCTTCTCTCAATAACACTATTTTTCCAAATCTTCAGTGCAAAATAAATTTCCTATTCTTATAACTGCCTAACCCAATGTTTATGTA